GCAGGCTTGGACTCGAGCTTCACCCACTCAACGTCAAGTGACTTTTGAGCATGTGGGGTGGCCCGAATCTCCTTTTGGCCAACAGGCCTCGCCACGACGGCGGAATACATGAAATCTGTCAAATATCCTTTCTCCCTATATTGCTTCGACTCTGGTTGCAGCAGGGACATCACCACTCTTGAAGTGGCGCAACTTCCCATCGATCTCAGCTACTGCTGCCTTGCGATGAGTCTCTTTCGAGCCTCTTCGAGTTCATACTTCTCGATGGCTTTCTTTCTCTCGGCCTTTGAAGCAGCCTTCCACAAGAAAGGTGGAATGTCAGAACCTTTGTATTTCCTTGCTTTGAACCCTCCGGCATCATAAAAGGACGAGTCGGACCCCCCGGACCAAAGCTACTCTAGCTCCACCAGTGTCCATCTCTTCATCATCCCGCAGGATCAAAAGATCGGCAGTCAAACGTCGTCCAAAACTTTCTGCCTCGACTTGCGTTGATCCACCCTTGCTATACGAAGGTCGTTTGGTCGTCTTGGCCCTAGAACATGCCTGACAAAAGGGGTTCTTAGGGGTATGTGCCAGCATATGTTGTATTGATTGAGCTTCTTCCTTCAAGGCGATCGTTCCCCAGGCACGTTTGGGATGCAGTGGTTTCTCAATCACCCATCATCCGACGGTTCAGGTCCCTCGTCAACTGGGTCCTCACCGATCGGGTTATCATCATCGTCCTCGACTTCAGCAGCCTCTTCAGCCGCCGGCGTTGCGGGAAGTGGAACCATTGGTCGCGGTACCCCCGACTTCTCAGTCACACCATAAGGCTGACCTTTTGCGGACATGGCAACGCCTGTTGGTGAAGGTAAGTATGGAACATAATCATCTACCTCAAGTTTGACCTTTGTACCATCAGGTCTCTTGAAGTACGGTCTACTAAAGGCAGGCCAATGAAAGCTCCACCCAGCATCAACGCAGCGCTGCCCGACAGAAACGACGGCTGGACTATCATCAAGAACGCATGGACTAATATCAGTGCCCAAAACAGGAACATTGACCTTTGTCTGATCGGTGGCCTGGAATACACCATTGGCTGTGAGAAGGCTCACTGGGTTCGAAGATTGGGAAACCTCGTCCGCGCGAAGCGTGTGCCTAGATATCAGATCATGTGCGCTCCCAGTGTCGGCTATCCATGCGATTTCTGTGGCAGGCATGGCAACCGTTGACCTCACTCCAAAACACTTCACGCACCCAATATCTGAGTTGCGTAAATATGAGCACTCGACAGGCAATGAACAAAGCTCGTTCCTTACGGCGCTCTGGAGGTGCGAGGCTGCTACAATAGCATCTTCAGTTGCGACACGGATGGCTTCAACATATTCAGGACGATTAGGTGTAAATCGTTTCCTTTTCTTCTTTGGACGGGACTGGACTGACCTCCAACTGGACGAAGTGTCAACATCATGGATAAACACACTTGGACAATCGTCAAAACGAATCTGCTGTTTTACAAAACTGTCGATATTCTCGGTATTATCAAAATCGGTGCACATAGTCTGTGGAGAGGAAATGACCGGCATGGCCACGCTTCCCAGCGAACGAGTGATGAGGACGGAGGATCCTTGTGAGACCACTGCGGCCACGACCATCGCACGCAGGAGGCAAACAGCTGCCGGGGCAGTTGATGAAGAAGATTTCCAACCCTTTTTCCGTTGGCTCTCTGAGCCGGTGGAACCATCGGAGCCTGTTGAACCACATGAGCTACTCCTCTTGCGTGGCTTGTCCTTCTTCTTCTTGTCCTCTTTCTTCGCAGGGACAGTCTTATCTGGGTGTTGGAACGGACAATCTTTTCCACGATGACAACGTCCGGCCTTCCAGAGTTTGGACCCTGGAGTGAGCGACCTGGACTGTGATCGAGGGCGGTCTTTACCCTTTCCTCTTCCTTTACTCTTTTCACGGACCTTTTCGCGCTTGTAAGGACATGATCCACCGCGTTTGCATTTCCCCGTCTTCTGAAAATCAAAGCAAATGCCTTTCTTCTCGTCTGTCGCAGGCAGGGCAGGATCTTTGGCACCTAGAGAACGCTTGGCGGCGTCTCTCATCTTTTCAAGTCTCTTGCGTTCCAAGTAGGCTCTCGCTGCTGCGATGAGAAATTCGTACGATCTCTCCTTGCTTCCCTCGGCAGCTCGATCGTACAAGGCGAGGTCATGCTCCAAAGGCTTGAACCTCTTAATCGCCAGGTGAAAGTATGCCTCAAGGACGTTGTCATCAGGTTCTTTCTTCATACCTGCCAAGACACTGTCCCATTTGTTGATGAAACCTTTGAGATCATCATTCACCATTTTCACCGACATTAGGTCTTCGAGCCTGTATATCGCCGAAATACTCATGGAACCGCAAGAGCAGGCGCCTCCCCTTTGCGGGTTTCTCCTCCCTCGCCCTGTCGCTATCTGCCGACCGAGGGTCCCCCTCAGCGCAATTTGTCAGACTGGCCAACAACTTCGCGTCAAGGGTGGCAAATCCCTCTGAATCGTCAAGTGCATCAACGGTTTGGGCATCAGCGTACACTTTGCCAACCCAAATCCTTGCTTCGTCTGGCTGAAGCCGCAGCAATGTCATCCCGCACCTTAATCTTCCAGTCACGGTATTTCTCTGGTGTTGGGAACTTGGGAATGAGGATCTTGTCCGCCTCTTTGGCTTTCGGATCACGATCCCTGTCTTTCAGCTTCTTTTGCTGCTTCTTCAACTCCTTACGGGTTATCCGGGCCAAACGCGATGAATCCGAACTAGACTCATCAGATCCGTCATCATCATCAGACGAGTTGGATGGTCCTCTTCGTCAGCATCAGAGGGATGAGGAACTAGGAGACCCAAGAGGCTGTGCAGGTATCTTTACTGTTTCATTTTCCCTTCACGAAAGCTGCTACTCCTCATTCAGGATCCCTGCATCGATCTCTGAGGCACTCCTTGCCATCTGCTTGGAAGAAGTGGGAGACAAGCCTGATCTGCTGCTGCCGCGTAGATTCGCCCGGTAGCCAATCCTCGACAAAGCAACCAGTTGCCTCAGTAAATGCTGCCACAGCAGAACACCCCAGACTCAGTACAAAAAGAACCTCAAACCTAACGACCACACCATTTGCACATTGTGGAATAGCGGCCACACCGCTGGCAAGGGCTAGCGTCTTTATCAAAACAATGTTTGCGCTGGTGCAAGAAGTAATGAGGACGCAACTCAAGGTGCGGTTCCACACCTCTTCAGCTGGAGGCGGGGGTGCTGCCTTCACACGAGAGCCTGGAAGGAATGGTGCTGTCGGTGGCAGGGGCGGCGCTCCATCAAGTCTTTGAACGGAGGCGGCGGCGCTGCCTTCACACGAGAGCCTGGAAGGAATGGCGCTGCCGGTGGCGGGGCAGGTAGATCTCCAACTCCACTACAAGCAGCAGGCGCGGACACAGCTGGCCGCGCTGGCGGTGGCTGCAGGCACTCGGTTCCCCGAGGCGGTGTCAAATCTCTCCCTCAACTCTTGGACGATGCGACTTTGCTCAGCGAGCTCTGAACGGAGTGCATCCTCTCTTTGCTTCGCAAACGCTCTCTCACTCTCAGTGATCGAATGTCTCTCAAGAGCCATGCGATCGAGATAAGCTTTCTGGTCTTGCAGTTGTTTTGCTTGCTGTGCTTGGTTCATGTCGTTCATGCGTTGCATGGTGATTGCTTCTTGTTGCGCCCTAGACTCCTCGACAAAAGCTCTTGCCTCATCAGCTACAACATCCCTATACTGCCTACCTTCCTCGACTCAACAAACTGTTGACCCTGTTCTGCCAACAACGCCTGGTGCCTCAACTCAGCGATCTCTGCCACTTCAGCAGACCGGTCCTGATTCACGAAGACGGCCTGCTGGTGGATCTGCCTGGCATCAATCTGGTGTACATTCAGGGTGGCGAGGCTTCGATACTGAACGGAGACGGACTGACGATCGATGGCAACAGGTTCCCCTGCGCGTTGAGCGCAGGAGGCACCGGAGGCCTTCTGAGACATCGCAGGAGATGTCGGAACATAGCCCGAACGAGAGCGATCGTCTTATAGCCTAACAAGCACATACCGCACTTAGGGCGATACGGCTGATAACCTGTAGTTACAAGTGAACGGCCTACTAGTACCAGCAAAGCGCACCTGGTCTTCCTTGAGCCAAACGTAGGTCATGTGAGACATGTATACAGTAAACGAGCATGAAACAACAATTTCTTCCTCCACCCTAGTAGCGATGGCCTCCAACCCAGTAGCGATGGCCTCTCCAACCTAATAGCAATGGCCTCCAACCTGATATACCCCTACTAGCAATGGCCTCCAACCTGATGGCAATGGCCTCCAACCTAGTAGCGTTTATACCACGGTTTCTTCCTCCACCCTAGTAGCGATGGCCTCTCCAACCTGATAACAATGACCTCCAACCTGATGGCAATGGCCTCCAACCTAGTAGCGTTTATACCCGGTTTCGTTTTCAAAACAACAGAAATGCAAGCTGTTTAACCCAAGGCCGCCAAGGCCTGCTGGCTGCATGGCAAGGGAAACATGAGAAACAGCAGTGTCTCTTGTTAGATGTCTCTCTCCTTCGGGAACGCAGGCCGCTTTCCCTGAGAGTGAAGGACGTTAGAACTTGGGACTCTGCCTGTCACCTTTCGGCTTGGCAGTGCGGTCAGTCCGAAATCGTTTGCCAATCGTTTGCCAGATTGTAGCAAAACAATGGACGTGGCTGGTCACCACTGCTACTTGTGTCAACTTGTCGGCAGCATCTGCTGTCGTAAACTTATTGGCACCTTCTGCTTTGGTACTTGCAGGAAACCAAAAAAAGAGATGTGAAACAAACCCCCAAGTAGAGGAACAGAAAATCTAACTGTTGCCTCTAAAACAGGTAGCCACTTTCTTCTATGGGGGGCAGTTCATTGGCTGAAGAATTTTAGCCCAACCAGCAACGGATGGCCAAACGTGTATCTAGCAGGCTAGCTTTGAGTCAAGGGTCAGCTTGCCCATGCCAGGATATGACGGTCGCAAAGACACCTTGTGATTGGCGGCTGCTGTCTGGATAAAGAAAGCGCCCCTGATGAACGGTGTCGACGTCCTTAGGGCGAGCAACTCATTCAAAAAACACTTGCTGGAAGATTGTACAAAAAAAACCTCGCGCACGTACACCCTCGGGAAAGAAATATGTACGAACTGCGGTTGGCCACACACCGACCTAGGTATTTTGTTGGCCGTAGGTTGTCCGCAGCAACTCTTTGAGTGTTTGAGTATGAGTCATGAGGAAAACGTCTTTCAACTTGCATCAAGCCATTTCAGGGTTGGTGTGAGAATCTCGAGATTTCAGGGTTGATGTGAAAACCTCGAGGTCCAACGCTAAACCCAAGCAGCAATTCCACATGCTGTGTTCTCGGCTTAGCGCAGCGCCCTTCGAGTGAAAGGAAATTAAGAAAGTTTTACGCAGGTTCGTTCGGACGATCAGTCCGAATATCCCACGCTGTGACCTAGCTTCGTTGAACTGGGTCAGCCGTGACCAGTTCCCCCGCGCTGAAAAACCTGTGACTCCAAGGTGTACACACACTTATTGACACGCGTACTGATTCGGTTGCGGTTTGCCACACGCCGCAGGTTTAGAGGCCATTGCTAGTAGTTGGAGGCCATCGCATCCAGGTTGAAGGCCCTTGTTACAAGTTTGGAGGCGTACCTAAAGACCTAAACACCTGCAGAGTGCACCAGCCCCTTTACTGACTACACGACAGGGTGGCCCGAAAGCATAGTAGGAGTAAGCATTAGAACGAAAGGGTTTCAAACGAAATCGAACGATCACATGCGCATGAGGATGTATTATGTCTGCGTATGTAGGACGATGATGATGATGACGACGATGAAGATGTATGATAATGAATTATGGTGATGATGATGATGATGATGATAATGATGATGATGTTGTATGTATGATGATGATGATGGTGATGATGTGTAATGCATGAGTATGTATAATGATGATGATGATGACAAACAAATGAAACAAACAAAGAAACAGCCAACAAATGAAACAGCCACTGATTTTGATCAGCCGCACATTTTCTGCAAAACTCGTGCTTGCGGGACATCCAGCCGCTACGATTCCAAGCCAAGCATGACATGTGTCTCACACAGATCCTGTTAACGAGTTCTAGCGTCGCCCACACCCCAACCTGCACAGTTCGCGGGTGAACGCTTCACGTTTCGGGCGCTTCCCATCTGGCGCGCTTCATATTTGCCGGCGTCTGCAGCACCAAATGAGTGGCTGGCCCTTTCGTTTTGCGCACGTCCATTTCATCCGTTGTTTGGAATGTGACAATGGCTTCCCGCTCGGCTTCGAGCGCCTCAGCTTGTTCTAGCTGAGGCGATGGGGGTGGTGGAAGGTTGCGGCTGAGGCAATGGCCGTGGCGGAAGGTTCCGGAGGATTTCACGGCCGAGCGCATTTTGGTAAATCTCCCAACTTTTCACAGCGACCAGGCGACCCTCCGGAAGAAAAAACTCCAAAAACTGACACAAGAAAAATGCCAGCAGGAAATGTTGCCGAAGAACGACGAAACAAAAACATCCACGTGCGAAACCGCGCAAATCCGTATGGCACCTCGACATCACGAACGTAATGTCGCCACACACATATCACACGATATCACCAATCATCCCGCTCACCAGCGACACGCCGCGTTTACACCAGCATGTTTCGCGTTTTCCAGTGGCACGGCGCCGCGCAAACGCCAAGGCCGTGCAAATCCGCATGGCACTGCGACGTCGCGAATGTATTTCGCCACACGGTCTGCCTACACGCTAGAAGCAAACACGATACCACCAATCATCCCGCTCACCAGCGACACGCCGCGTTTACACCAGCATGCTTCGCCCTCCCCCAAGGCCCGGCGCCACGCAAACGCACTTCCCACCAAGGCCGCGCAAATCCGCGCGGCACTGCGACATCACGAACGTAATTTCACCACACGGTATGCCTATACACATATCACATGCATGATGCCACCAATTATCCCGCTCGCCAGCGACACGCCGCGTTTACACCAGCATTTTCTTCCTCCCCAGTGGCACGGCGCCACGCAAACGTGAAGCGCCAAGTCTCCAAAACCAGCGTCTCATACGAGACGTCCTCCAAAAGTGAAGCGCCAAGTCTCCAAAACCAGCGTTTCGTACGAGACTGCCTCCAAAAGTGAAGCGCCGAGTCTCCAAACGAGCGTTTCGTACGAGACTTCTTCCAAAAGTGAAGCGCCAAGTCTTCAAAACCAGCGTTTCCTACGTGA